CACACACACACACACACACACACACACACACACACACACACACACAAACAGACAGTAGGCTCAGTCACAGGGTACCAGGGGCAAAAGGGAAACATCTGGGGTATCTGCCAGGTGCTTTGGCTAGACTTGAGAAACTACATGAACCTGCCTTGCTCTACCCACCGCCCTCCCTTTTGTCCTCAAATGATGAGTCTGAATATAACCTGGCACACGGAACAGCAGTCTGTTCCCTCCGTAACAGAGGGAATCAAATCAAGCTAAAAGACAACAACACAAAGAATTAGAGCAAAGCTAAACACAGCTTCCCAGTTTAACAAATCAATTCTAGCTCCTATTATAAACATCTCTTTTTACGGTGTTGAAATGTGCAGAGCTTATAAATGGAGAGCAGAGGGGGAGTGAAAAAAATGACTCCGCATCAGGGTTTTTTGGCACAGGAAGAAAAGAAGGGAGTAGGAAGGGGGAATGGGTTTGTGAGAATGAGGGCAGATTCCTGGAAGGGCACCTGCTGCGATAGCCATACACTATTAAACACAGAGGCCTACTGTCTGATGTCCACTTTGACACACACACACAACCTCATTCATATCAGACTCCATATGAACAAGGACTAGCAATACCTATGGTTCATGCACTGACACTTTTGTTATAGTTTAAGTATAGCTCAAGTACAACACTCATCACTTTTGCTTAGAGTTGATGATAATCTCTTATAAGGAAGTTTAAGAGTCACTTGGTACAAAAAAGCCACAAGAAAACTGCCACTCAGTTAAAGTTCAGATTTGTAGCCTTCAGAAAAACGATTGCAAATCTTCTTAAAGGAGCATTGGAAATAAAGTTGCTCTTAATCCATATAGTAGCTGCTCAGATTTTTTATTCTGGGCTAAAAATGGTGGACTGACTGACTAACAATTCCACCGTGCTAGTCCTAGAGCATGTTTAAAACTCCTGTTGATCAAGCAGCCACCTTAAAGGGCTGAGACCCAACTTTAGCTATGAAATTTGAATTCTTACAAACTCATACAAACCCTTTTTGGTTTAACTTAAAAAGAAAACTGCACAGTTGAGAGGAGGAGTGGGATTATAACTCCCTTGGATTTTGCCAAGACTTAATATTAGGGGGCATGGCCATGTTGATTAACAGCCTCCACTGATTAAAGTCTTTTATCTGTATTTTGCTTAATACAAATTACCCAGCAAACATGGCTGAAAACCAGGTGTTATCCCCTTCATGAAAACTGGTCGCAATAAGGTGAATGAACCCATGTAGAACACAAGCCTCCTCACGCTCTTACAAAGTGAGAAATAAAGTTTTGACTATTGCAAAAAAGGAATTCATTGCTTTGTTTTGTTTTTTGAACAGCAAGGTAATGTGGTCAGTACATGGTTGTCAACAGATGGCTAGCATCACTAAAAAAAATTTTTTTTTTTAGCCATTTACAGTTTTTTACATCTAAATTCCAGTTTATTTGTTGTGTAGTGAACTTACCTTGTTTTGTTTAATATATACATTATATACACATTTAGATGAATTTTCTCTTGCCAGAAATTCTAATAAGGACGTCCACACATCTCAAATGGACATTAAAAAAAAAACGTCCATGACATCAGTTAGATGGTTATTCAACCTCAAAGGTGGTCGCATTCCTACAAATGTCTAACAAATAATCTACAAAGTACAGAAGAGGATAAGATCCAATGATTTTTTTCTCAGATTTTGAAAAAAAGTCATTATCCAAAATAAAGCAATAAAATATTCATATTTAATAAGAATGTGTCTCACCTGCCCCAGTGAACTGCCAGGTTTTGTCCAATAGACATGAGCAGGTCCTGAGGTCCATGGTCCCACTGACACTCCTCTGCCCACTGAGTGGCAGATCGCTCCAACTCATCATCCCAAATCTGCATGCATATAAAAAACAATCATTCATCACCTGCTGTATCAAGTGCAATCCACACTATGCTTTCCTTCCCTCAACCTGCTCTTCTGCTCTTGCACTTCCTTCTCTCCCATTAAGCTGAAACTAAGCCGCACACAAGTACAACATTATCCTTAGATGGTGACATTTGAGCGGAGCTCCTGGGGCCTGGCCTTGGTCCACTACAAATCTCCAGCAATCACAGCTGAATTATCCACGTTTCCTCAGTGGGATTTATTATAGCAGTGGACAAGAGGGTGGAAAACAGAGAAGATACCTGACTCCCACTTTGGAGGGGGCACTGTGAAGTGACTGAACACTCCATACATCATGGCCCCTCAAAGTACATCCCTTCAGTAAATTTCCAGCCTTTTGGTGGTCGCTAAAACATGCACACACAGACAGCACTGTAACTCCAAACACCCTTACACTAACACAAACACATCCACTGCCTGTTCACTGGAATTTGAGAGAGCAAAGACAGTCTGCAGACATTTTCCTCCACAGTGTAACCACACTCCAGAGAGACACAGGCCACCACTGCTTCTCTCAACTTTGTGGTGCACGTGGTTTTCAATAAGCTTATGTGTGTCTCCACAATAATCCCTCTCCTACTTTATGTATTAATGTGCCATGCGGTCCCTTAATTTTCCCGGTTTCCAGCCTTATTCTCCTTCCTCTTTTAACCAAGCCGCATGTGCTGAGCTGTTTGCAGGTAGGACAGAGTCAGCATTATTATCCTCCCCATAAAAGCGTGGCACAGCAGGCTGGCAGTAGTTCAACATCTTGACTACATGTTTCCGTTTCCAGCAGAGAGAAAAGATTGTTTTTATTACGACAACACCACTTTTTGTACGTCAACTAAAACCCTGATTACCAACCTCATTGGTGCTGCTGACAGATGAAAATTACCTGAGAAGCTGCTATGTTTATATATCATTATATATATATATTATATATAATCCTGTGTTCATATCATTTGAGTATATATGTCATATATATGATGATACATGGTAAAAGATCTGCTTCTCTTACTTATGGCTCTTTGTGATGTCACTTAGAAGAGATATTCCTTATATCGTGATCTCAGGCACAACCTGACTGTGAGCACAGAAGCCCCGCCCACCTACTGTTCAACTCTTGTGTTTGCAAGGTAAAGCCAAACACATGAAGGTTGGCATAAAGAGAAGCTTGTTTCACACAGTGATTAAACTGATGAGCTGAAGAAGGTTCAATATAAGGTAAATAAATGTAAGACTGAACTGTGAATTCTGCAAAACCACTCAAGTAAAGCAAATAAAAAAATCAAGTGCAAGAAATAAGTATAACAGTTTTTTTCCAGGGTAAAGTAAAATGTTAGCTTTATCTGCATGATAATACTGAAATAGGTCAATAATCTTACCATGTATTCCATGTTTGAAGCGGTGGGGTAAACCCCACCCCTCAGCTTGTTGTGCAGCTGCAGGATCTCCTCACGGTCTGACCAGAGGATGGCTCGGCGGGTCCTGTTACCAGCTGTGTTGCTGGTGCCTTTCTGCTCTGCTTCCTCCTCATAGCGGCTCAGTAGCTTCCTGAGCTCGCTGGAGTCTGGCAGGAAGAGGGAAGCCGAGTCTCTGATGCACAACAGCACGAGGACGAGGACAAGGGGCCAGGTCACTGTAGCGCAGGTCATCCTGACACTTGAGCTGCGTAGTTTATACTTTATGACTAGACAGCAGCTTGTGGATATAGAGAGGCTCCTTTCACAGTTCCAGATAAAATCTGCAGGGTTGAAATGACGATTCAATGATGGTTTCCTTCCTCTGTGATTCAAGAAAATGAGCAGATTACAAAATATGGGCACACACACTTCCCAAACTTAACTAATATAGGAGGCACTTCTACTAAAGTTGCAAAATAAATGCACACACCTAGAAACGACTGCACAGCAAGACTCTTCTTTAATATCTGTCTCTCTTTCAGGTTGTTTTTAGTTGATAACTCTTCAATATTCCCTTTGTATTGCTATGTGTTATAACTCCTACTGATGAAGAGGTGGTGATGGGGAGGAGCAGTAAAATAAAATTTCCTAACTCAAAGGTGGACGTTTTTTTTCTCTGCAGTTCTGCTTTGTGTAAGTTCGGCTTTTGGCCATCTTATGACTGTTTTACTATTTGGGCCAATAGACTCTGATGCAATCCAAAATAACTGCCCTGCAATAACAACATTTCTTTGAGAAGCTTCTGAATGCTTTATTTAGGCCAAAGTATAAAAGAAATAATTCAATGTTCATTTTTGAGGCTATGAAGGTGTTTTTGTTTATTTGCAGTGCCATAAAATATACTGAAAGGTGTATGAAACAGATATTGGCCACAGAGTTCAATCAACCACTCTCATATAGCATGAACAAAATTATAATCATAAACTTCCATTAGATTTATCTGATAAATTGCTGATTCTTTGAGGCATTTTGTTTCCTTTTCAGACACTGTGATGTGTACAAGATCAGCTTGTAACATATTGTGACATTAAATGCTTAAATGATCATTTTTAGTGGCCTCAGTCTTAATGTATGAGGATCTGTCTTATTCATAACAACCTCAATTATTTGACCATAAACATTGATATGACATAAAGTGTCCCTAATAAATTAGTTTTATATTCATGACTAAAAGTGTATGAAAAAGTCTGTGTACATAACCCACCTGGACCTAGTGCACCTTAATTATATACAACATCCATCCTGTATCACTCCAGTTATTTTAGCCAAGCCAAGCAGCACAGTGAGATCTGCTGAGGGGGACCTGAGTTAAAGCTGACCACTTCTCACTCAGCTCTCATTAGGCAAAACACTGCATTCCTCACACATATTAGGAAGGTTCATAATATTGTGTAACTGACTCTTTACCTGACCTCGCTCTGAAAGGCAACAAGGTGGAGGCAAGACGTCCAAAACTAAAGCTAAACCAAATATCCCTAAGTCATAAACTTCTAGAAAGAGAGAAGAGCAGTCAGTCAGGGTGATCAGAGAAGAAAGGAAAAATAAACCAGCTCGCACTGGTTGCTCTTATCCTTGAATCCCTTCACCTCTTTCCCTTTGGCTGGAGATGCAGCCTGAGGTTTGGCATCGGCTCTGTGTCAACATGCTGTGCCAGCTCAGGGAACTGTGAGCCAACAGGCAGCCCAGCCGCCACACCCTTCTTCTTTCCCTGTGCCCCGTCTTCACACTGAACCTCTACCAGCTTCTCTGTCTGGGCCCTTCTCAAGGCTCTCATGAATTCGATACCAGAGTGACAGACAGAGGAGAAAACCTGAACGCAGGTACGTACTGACATCTCGTCTATGTAAACTTGACTCCTTTTTCAACTTCTGGAGCTCCTATCTGATCCAAAGAGGGACTGACCTCATCTCCAGCTCACCACGAGGCTGAATGTAAACAAAAACACATGCCATAATGTAGATTCTATCATTTATATAACTTTTTGCAGTTACTTGAAATGTTTGTAATTTGCAATTACTTTTTTAAATTTCATTTTATTGTTTTGGGGGTTTGGGCTTTTCTTTTTCTTCTTCTTCTTCTTCAGAAACCTTAAAGGTCATCATTAAGTAAGTTATTTCTTCTGTTATATTCTGGTCCCAGAACTCTAAAATATAGGCTTCCATAAATGATATATAATCTTTTGATCATATCGATAACCTCCAAATACACTTAAAAAGCTTTGCTCATAAGGTTACTTCCTGCACATAGGGTTTCCATTATGCTACGGCACTTTCCGGGCTGCAGACACTGAAGACCGGTGTCTCGCTAACATCAGAGTTACAGTGTGTCAGAAGTTTATATCGCGATGTGAGTGCATGAATAAATCTGCAGCAAATCTCACCAGGTGGGCAGTTCTGCCTTTCCTGCTGTTGCAGAGAATGTGCATTCTAAAATACGGGTTGTTTCGGAGAAAGAAAGAAAGAAAGAAAGAAAGCGTGCTCACCTCTCTGTTTCTTTGTTAGTATCCAGTAGATTGAGTATTTTCGGTGCAGCTTCCTCTGAGCGCCGGAAAGCTGTTAATTCTCTTATGAGAGGAGCAGGCTGCTGCTATTGGTGGTGTTCCCGGGGAACATAGAGACTGTGTAACTCCTGAGCAACTCTGAGAGCCTTATATAGAGAAGGAGACCCCTTAGGACCAGAGGAAAAAATTAGTGTCTCTCCCCACTCGCCAGCTTCCCTTAAGCAGACTATGTTCTTGGCACACAGAGCGCACAGTGCGCAGACTAATGTCAGGAGGACATTTACAAATATTGTAAATCAGCGGTCTGTCAAAACAGCCAGGAGCAGGCGGTGGGATTATAATGAGCCATTTACGTTTGGCTTAGATAAGAAAAAACGCTTCAGAGGAAACAAGCGCATAAGTGGACCATCAGCAGTTATAACAAACATGACGAAATTGAAAGGAAAAACATTTTATGCCTACGCCAATTCCAGGGTCATTATTATATCTCGAGACCACACACGAGGATCGATAAGTTGTAATTATTGGATTTGTGGTGGTTGATAAATAATTTGCCGATGCTTTCTGGATTAGTTCATCCACCACTGTCCATTGGCTGGAAGTATTTTCTGCTCGGTCATAATTTGCATATAAATGCCGGTAATTCGCTGTTATTAAAAGACAAAACAAATAGTGCTGCTACCATTTAAAAAGAGCCATCAGGTCATTGTGAGGATAATTTATCTCTTACAGCTCTGCGCAAAAGTCTTGAGCCACTCTCGATTTTGTTATATTTTGAAAGGAAAATTGGAAATCGGTGAAGCGATTTGCTGAAACTTTATTTCCATGGTTGTTTCCATGGTAAACAACCATGGAAATAAAGTATATAAGACGCATGTGCGTTTCGTAAGTGCCTTAATGTCAATCTTTGGTGTGGCCACCTTTCGGCACAGCCTGGACGCTCTCAGGCAAGCTTTCTTGTAATTTCTTTAAGTAGTAGTAGTTCTCCAGGCTTCTTGAAGGACACTCAAAGTTCTTCTTGGATTCTTTTTCTTGGCTGCCTTTTGTTCTTTGTCAAGATGATCCTACACTACTTCAGTAATGCTGAGGTCCAGGCTCTGGGGAGGCCAATCCATGGCTCATAGTGATCCATGTGTGTTTTTCTATCTATCTATGTTTTTACTGCAGTGGCAGTGTTCTTGGGATCATTGCCATACTCAAAAATTAAACCACTGTCAATCAGATACAATCCAGATGGCTTTACATGTTGAACAAAATCTTATGTTACTTTTCTGTGTTTATAATTACATCAGTTTTGACAAGATCCTGAGCAATATTGGCAAAAACAGAGCACCAAATCAGGACAGAGCCAGATAAATCTTTAGACCCGACACTTCTTGTGTCCTCTACTTCTCTACTTGACAGTTTCCTAATTTTTTTTCATGGCACAGAACACCAAGGATATGCCAGATTTTCAGCTAACATGTATCTGGAAATCACCTTGTTGGTGAAAAAACACTATTTTAGGTCAAACTGTTTATAACTAACAATGGCTGTGCAAGTGCAAGTATGCAAGTGCAAGTATGAATGCCATCCTACATCCTGACTTGCAATTACATGTGGGGACTCATAATTTAAAAATAAATTATTTACAACCCATTTAGGATCTGTAATTTCTTGTGATTGTAAAATCTGAATGGCATCGTCTTGGATTGTCAGTTTAACATGAACATGTAAAACCATCTCAGCCAGATCAGTTGGAGGCCTGAAGGCCAATTGTAGGAAACATATCAGCTTCATCTGAATTGCAGCCACATCAAAGGGTAGAGCTTTTAAAAAGGTTTTATCTGTAAAAAGCACTTCCTATAATTTGCGTCATTTGGATGAGAATGAAGAGGAAAGAAGGAGACTTTGTGAGCTTGCATGAGAAAACACGAATCGTCTGCCCTGAAAAGCGGCTTCATGGAATGACGCTGCCATATCGCCTTACTGACCCTGCAGTGTTCTAGCTGTGTTATGACCCAAATAGTTTAGATTTTATTCCATCGTATACTTGATTTTTATTCTGAAATATCCCAGATACGTACAAGAGCGCGGCACTCAGAGGGCATGCCAGCAAACTAAATCCCCAGACAAATTCTCTTCCCACAGGGTCTCTGCCAGCACGGGCTCTGAACTTCTTATTATTATTGCTTTCTTTTGTTTTCTTAAATACATGTTTAACAGGAAGTCTGGCCATCATACCCTGCAGAGATGCTTTTAGTGATGCTCATGCTTGATGAGCTTCATTACTAATAAAGTATTCTCTGACAAAATGTAAGAGACGTTACATATTTACACAGGACGTCAGACCAGTTTTCAATGAGGAAAATCTTGTTTCGAGAGATTTGTGATCCAGATTTTGAAAATAAATACATTTATTCATTTTTTAAGAAAGTATAAAATAGAATTATATAAATACAAGCTGCATCGAGCAAATAAGGTCAGTAAAATGACACAATAGCTCTGACCTCATTCAGTTCTTGACCTTGCTGACTAATCGTTACAGACTGATTAGTCAAACATAAATCCATCCATGTGCCGGGAATAAGCGTGAATATTCGATCATGTTGCATGATGTTATCATCGTTGGTATTCCGGATTTGACTCTTATTGTGGTTTTGATCACAATCGGTGTAAACGTGAGGTAACATTTAATAGTATCCAGATTTCTGATTATCTAAGAACAGGCAAGTGTGTCACATGTACTTATCTCAGCAGATGAGGATGAGCAGTTTCTGGTTGTGTGATCTCTGATACATTCGAGTGATAACACAGCTGTATGCCCGTGTGATAGGATGAAGGATAATGCCATCTGGCTTTGTAACACTTGTTTTGTGTGCCGTTGCCGAGCAGAGGCATTGAATACATTAATGGCTAAAATATTTAGGACAAGAGCTTTGTATATTTCAGATTGTTTTAAAACTGCTCCCCTTCTTTTGTCTTTATGGTGCCACCGTCACTCTCCTTGAACTCTTTATGTACAGATACTTCAGATAAACCTAATGGCTTAACAGATTTGTACTTTTCTGTTTTACATTTACTCAGCGGGACTCCTTTGGGATTTATCTCTGTTGTGTGCTGTAGACACTTGTTGACAGAGTAATGATATAGATAACCCATCCTTGATGACTTGTTACAGATGTTGAGGTACAATAACTTACTTCTCAGAAATATTATTCATTACACGGGTCCATTAACCTTGATATATATTATTCATTCCGGGCCAAATGGAAACTGGAAACTCTCAACTCTGCATTAGTCTCAGTTGAAGACAACAGAAGGATTGCACAACTCAAACATCCCCTTCTTGTTTACTTGGGTAGTATATAAGCATTAGCAGGTGGAAAACAAGTTTCCTTTTTGTAAAGGTCAAGGAGGAACAACCATCCATGACATACAACTGTCACAGGACAGTTTGTTTGGACAGACATCCTTGAAACTCTGGTTGCCATGTTGTTTACCTTCCTGAGAAGGGAACTGAGAGCAAGTGAACCTCTAAACACGAAGCACTAAAAGAGGAGGAAAAACTGGGGGAGAGTGAATGAAGAAACCATATGGTACACGGGGCCGATTATAAAAACTAGCCAGTGGGTGGATTGTAATGGAACAGGAAATGCATAAAATCACAAGTACTGAGGGAAAGATTAGTAAACTGTAAGCACTAACGCAGGAATTAGGTGCGGAGATGCCTTTTTACTGAAGCTTTAGAGGTTTGTAACATCTTTATTGAAGGATGCCACGTACCTCGTTCAAGGTTACTAAATTTCAAATAAACATTCGAGTAAGGGCAGAAGCACAGTGTTGTTTTTACCTGTGTCCCAAATGTGTACTATACACTCACTTGGCAGTTCATTAGTTACACTTTGCGACTACCAGGTTGTAGTCTTTTCTGCCTCCAGAACTGCATTTCTTCTTTGTGGTATCAATTCATATGACATATGACATGATGTCAATCTCCCATTCCACCACATCACAAAGCATATTAGACCCCAAAGCCTATAGCGCTTTGGGGTCCTTAGGGACTAGTAAAGCAATATACAAATACAGGCCATTTACCATTTACCATGATTCGAGCTTTGTTATATGGCACGGTATCCTGCTGGAAGTAGGCATCAAAAGATGGATGCACTAGGGCCAGCATACTCAGATTGGGTATGGTATCAGAATGATGCTCAGTTGATACTGAAGGAGCCAAACTGTGCCACGCTATGACACCATCACAACTAGCCTGAAATGTTAATACAAGACAGGAAACCAACCATCAACTGGATGGAGGCACACATAAGGTTATAGCATAGCTTATAGTACAGGGTTTTAGAAGGGTTTGCAGTTACAATCTATGGCATTGATTTAATGCAGAGACATAAATCCACTGAACTTCAGTAGGTCATCTTGACCTTTTCTAGATGTCTAAATCCAGTGAGCTGCTGTCATATTATTGGCTGATTCTACACGTGCAGCTAACTAACAAACTGATCTGTGAGAGTCTATCAGGAAATACAAACTGGCCAATTTGGAGCTTTTAAAGAGATTTTTGATTCTTGACAACAGATTTAATAATATCAGAAAAGCAGATAAGCGACAGTCTCGAGGTAAATATTAAAGGGAAAATTTCAGAGTCTCCTTGAAGAGCCCAGTGTGACTCTCGGCGGGGCTTTTAATAATGGAGTCACAGAGCATTGTGTTCTTACATTTTGAAGTCATGGATATCCTTAAGTGCACATTCTGAACAGTAAGAAACTAATCTTGCATTGCAAATTGCAGCTTGCACCCAAGGCATTTGAGAAATGGCAGCTGGACCTTAAAATGTATTATTATGATCCTTGTTAACTTTTATATAAACCCAGCCACAGGGGGCCACAAGCCAGTATACTCTTAGTGCTGCTCCGGGTAAATGGGAAGGGTTGCATCAGGGAGGGCATCTAGCATCAAATCCTTGCCAAATCAAACACGGGAATCATCAAAAATGTGATCGGTCTGGGCCTTGTTTAATAACCCAGTGCTGTTGGCCAACAGGGTGCCACTCAAAACTGTGCTATTGTTCGCCAAAGTCAATAGAAGAGGAGAGGCGGAAGGTGTATTCAGAGGCAGCTAGAAAGAAGGAAAGGCAGGAGTGTGGAGGTGAGAGTGGGGACTTTAAGATGAACTGTGACTGGAAGATAGATATACTGTGA